GCCCAGTACACCCTGCCCCCGGGCTTCTGGCCTCTGTCCCCGGAACGCCTTGCCCGCGCCTCTGCCCTCAGTCTGTCCCATGCAAGTTGCACGGACTAAGCCATTTTATTTATTTTGGCCTAGATTTCGTGTTTTCCCGTGGATGTCTGGAGTAGCCTCTACGAGGTTTTCCATTGGGAGAGACACACGCATTGGAAACCAGAGGGCCCAATTCCCAGAGCACACGAGCGTTTTAAACTTCTAGGTGGGGATGCCGAGAGACCTAATTGAATTGGAGACGTTGCGATGATGTATGAAGACCTCGTTTTACAACCCAGCTAGACACTTCCATAGTGTCCATTTTCCCCCTAATTGTATTGACCAAATAATCAATTCGCTTTTCATAGAGGGACCAAATTAAATATTTTCCACATTTTGCGTGATAAGTCCATCTCGAATTTTTTTTATTAAACGTATACATTTTAATTTAAAAGAACTTGAAGTCTTCCACTTACCCATGAATTACCAAAATATAAAAACCACACTGTGCCCTTCCCCAATCAAACCTAACCCCCAGACTAAGATTGCAGAGGCGACACAGGCATTTTTATCTCAAATGTAGGATATTCTTCATCCGAGGGTAGTTGATGTCCACGTGGGTACGTGTGTGAATGTACGGGGTGGGGGTGGGGGGGCTTACTAACAGGTTCAAAAATCTGCTAGTGCTACTTAACTGGCTTAGAACACATGGTTTTACCCAGTATCAGCCAGTGGATTACAATAACAAACCCCTCAATGTCTTTCTCCAAAGTGCAATCTTTTATGTTATGCTGTATTAAGATTTCTTTTTTGTGTCATATTGTTTAGCTCCGGGAGGGGAAAAAAAAAAAAAAAAGAAAACAAAGCAATTAAAAAGATTGACAGGTATGGTTTGTTAGAGACCTATTTGTAATTGTCAGGGTGACGTTGGCGAGAGGAGGAGGAGTAAAAACTGAAGCAGGAAAAGCAGCTCGATGTGTCTGTCTATCAGTTGAGACTGTCTGAGAGCTCCGCGCTCGGAATGTGTGGTAGATTTCACTGAAAAGAGGAGCGAGCGAGAGTGGTCTGCCTCTCTCCCAGGAGTTTGGGGGGGACAGTCCGCGCTCATCTCGCCCACCCAGCGCATGTCTGCTCTGCGCGCCCTCGCACACACTCTCCGGGTTGTTGTTGTTGGCTATTTTTTTTTTTTTTGGAGGGGGGTGCTTTTTGTGTATTTTTCTAATTTTTTTTCTGTTGGAAGATCAAGACCGGCCAAAAATCCATGATCAGAATGTGTTTGCATTAGATTTCGCTTTGGAAGAAGCGGCGATCCCGGCGGCAAAGCCAAGTGGCAGCAAGTGGCGCTCCGGCGGGGTGACACTGTTTGATCTGTGACTGTCGGGAAGGTGGAGCGGCGCCTGACATCGCCCCCCGGCGCATGTATGTACGGGGGCTTCACTCCGCTGTCTTGTTTGCTTTCTTCCTCTTAGACCAAGTGCGGGAGGGAAAGGACAGCCTGCATCGGCCTCGCTGGCGCACAATGAGGGAGCCGCGACCCGCGCACTGAGAGCACTCGCCGCGACCCCGAACCGCGAGGACAGAGGGCCGAGAAAGTTGCGCTCGGAGACCCCCGGCTCGCCGACGAAGGCGCCGGCAG